CCTTTTAGCCTTAAACGGTTGGGTACCCAGATCCGCCTGGCGGGTATTATATTACCTGCCATTAAAGCCAGCAGTCCGGATTGTCCAAGAAGGGGGGTTTGTTAAACAGTTGAAGCGGTGTAGCGAACCTTTTCCTAGGGCCGCGGAAGTTGGCAAACTTTTTTTGGGTTTCGCTATCCAACAAAAACTTTCCCCCCGTTCAACTGCTTAACTTTTGGACAATCCAGACTGCGGGCTTTAAGGGCCGGATTGGTCCTGGGGGTATTACCCGACCCGGACCCGACCCGAGGTCGGGTATGGCAAAACCGGGTCTGAAATACGTTGGGACGGGCAGGGTGAAAAAAGTTTCGGGCAGGGGGCAAAAAAAGGATACAGAGGGGGAGGAGGGGGCCTTCAAGCACCGAGGAAATATAATATTAAGATTTCACATACATTTCACAAGCTCCTCCATAATGCAACCTACCACTCCCTCCATCCGTCCCACTAGACCTCCACATACTACTATTTTTTTACCGAGATCTACTCGTACTCATCCTCCAACACTTCGTCCTCCCCTCCTCCCCTCCGTCCTCCTCTTCCATGGTGTAGCCCTCGGGGTGGGGGTAGACATGGGCATGAGCCGAGCCTGGCTCGGCTCGGCTCGTTGGGGTCGAGCCGAGCCGGCTCGCCGGTCGAGCCGGCTCGGCTCGCCTCGAGCCGGGTCCTCAGGATCCCTGGCTCGGCTCGTGAAAATGGGGTCGAGCCGGGGCCGGCTCGCCGGCTCGCCGGCTCGGCTCGGCTCGTCAGAGGGGCTTGTGCGGGCTCTCAATTGGGGCCACGGGGTTTTGGGGTCTCTAGTATAGGGGATAATCCATATTATTTAGCTGATCGTCTGCTCCTACATCTTACAAAACTATCAGGAGGAGCTGCCGGTTTAAATATGGCTGGCTGAGGTCGATAGACTAGCGCGACAGGGTGAGGTTAGGGTTGGCAGACAATATTGGCAGGGGGGGGGTTGTCGATCTGAAAATTTGACAGTCGCGGAAACCCCCCTTTCCCTAGCCACGAGCCGGCTGGCTCGAAATCGAGCCAGCTCGAGCCGGCTCGACTCCGGCTCGCCTGATTTCACGTTCGCGAGCCGAGCCGAGCCGCCGGCTCGAGTCGAGCCGAGCCGCTCGGCTCGAGTCGAGCCGGGTACCAAAAAAGAAGGCTCGGCTCGCCTTAAAGGCGAGCCGAGCCGAGCCGAGCCAGGTGTGGCTCGGCTTGTGCCCATGTCTAGGTGGGGGCCTTCGGGAATGTTCCCGGGGATGTTGGCAAGGACCTCTGGCTTCTTGTGCCAGTTGTAAACCACAACCCAGTTGTGGGCCACGCGCGGCACTTCTCAGACCCGAGGCGATTGCGCCTTGCCGTGTGGACCAAGTCCCACAGGGCCCAATTGCTCTCGCAGGAGGCGGCAGAGACGGGCTGAGAAAGGACACGGCACGCCAGAGTTGCCAGCTCTGGATAATCCGTGCCGTGCCATGTCCACCAGTGCGTGAAGCTCAGCTTCCCCTCCTTTCACGGCCTCCCGATCTGCAATTGCTGCAGGGAGGCCGAAGCTACCCTGCAGAGTAATGTAGGCCGTCAGCCCCTCTTGCAGGACTAGGGAGGCACGGCGCTCCTCCTCGCCCGGCCGAGTGATAGTGAGGTGGTCGTAGTGGGTGGCGAGGTAGGACTTGAAGACCCTGGTACATTCCAGGTCGTTGCGGAAGATCCCCTCCAGTTGGTTGGCCGGATTTAGGCTTGAGCAACGGGTCGGGTCGGGTCGGGTAACCCGACCCGAACCCGACTTTTTGACGGGTCGGGTCAGGTTTCCCGTCGGAAGAACCCGACCCGTCGGGTTTGATTTTTACCCGTCGGGTCGGGTCAACCCGAACCCGACATGGACGGGTTCGGGTGAACCCGACATGTCGGGTTGACCCGACCCGACTTCGGGTATTACATCGTCGGGTTGACCCGACCCAACCCGACCCGAAGTCGGGCCGCGCCTCGACCCGACGCAATCTGGGCGACCTGAGTTGCGCAGATCTGGAAAGTCTGACGGTTTGGTCGAATTTTCGACCAGATGGTCCATTTTCCAGATCCTACTTAGGCTTCCTCCCATTTTTACCCTCCATCCAGCTCATTCCTAACACTAATCTACTCCCCACCATGCTTATTGGTATAGCTTAGGGTCTAAACAGACCCAGATCGATTTCTATTGGATCGACTCAACCAACAAAGCTCGTCGACACCACCACCAACCCAACCAATTTTCGCCAACACCCCCAACCCAACCAATTTTCGCCCAACGCCCAACCAAACCAACTTTCGCCAACACCCCCAACCCAACCAATTTTCGCCCAACGCCCAACCAAACCAACTTTTCGCCAACACCCCCCAACCCAACCAATTTTCGCCAACACCCCCAAACCAAACAATTTTTCGCCCAACAACGCCGAAACCACCCGAATTTTCGCCAACACCCGCAACCAAACCAAAAGCTCGCCAACACCCCCAAGCCAACCAATCTTCGCCACGCCCCCAAACCAACGAAAAAATCGTCAACACCCATTCATTCCGTCACTGGTTTTCGGTCAACATCCTCCAACCTAACCAATACTTCGCCAGCGCCCAAAACCACTTGTCGAGGTTGCGGGGGATGAGGTGGGTGGGCTAGGAGACACGAGGAGGACTACTGGATCTTGAAATTACGAAATCCAGCTGTTCCCCCCTGGGAAAAAAATAGCTTCTAGTTAGGTCGGGTCAAGTCGGGTCGGGTCGGGTCGCATCAACCCGACCCGACTGCGGGTAGGAGATGACCCGACCAGCTATGGTCGGGTCGGGTCGGCAAAATCCTAAGATCGACCCGACCTGACCCGACCCGACCCGACCCGAACCCGACCTCGGGTTAGGCAAAGTCGGGTCGGGTCGGGTCGGGTCGGGTTAATGCTCAAGCCTACATGGGGCAGGCGAGACTCCTGTCCCAACAGGTCTTCACGATCTTCGTGACATCCGCCTTGTCCGCCCTCGTCAGCAACCCCTCCGCGCTCTCGAGCTTGTTGTCGATGTCCTCGGTGAGTTGCAGCATGATGTCATACCCATCATGCCCTTTGCCGCCGAGTCTGTTGCATGCATGGCCACGAACGGATGCTCCATCAGGTCAGGGAAGAACCATCCCTGATCCTTCACACTCTCCTTGAAAGCCTCCGCCGTCGCCCTCCTCGAGCCCACTGCCCACTCCCGCCAATTGTTGCTCAAAACCATCTCCACGAGGGTCATCTGCACCTCGCAGAGGCGGGACAGAGCAATGAACTGTGTCCTGAACCTCGTCCCCACGGGCCGCAGCACTTGCTTGCCCTTTTCGCCTTGCACCCGTGGGCTCCGCATGAAGCCCTTCGTGAAGTGATGTGCACAAAGTTGATCATTTCTCCCGCCTTCTCCACCACCCCGCGATAGTGACGCTGTCACAGGGCCAGCTCGCCGCAATCGGGGCGAGGGCGGAGTCCACGCGCTGGCGGGTCTTCTGCAGTCCCGCTCCTCAGACGTAACGCCGTTTCGGAGGGATGTAGGAAGGCCCCACCTTTCGCAATGCAAGACACTGCGTTGCGGAAGAGGGGATGGTCCGCGTGGTGCTCGGGCAGGCGGAGTCCCGCGAAAAGGAGGCAGATGGCTCGTCGGCAGCGTTCTTCGCGCATGCCGCCTCGTCGCCGAAGAATTCCGTGATGCGCCCCTTCTTCGTGACGTGGCGTTGTCACCGACGCCGGCGACGGCACAAAGCGCGGACGCCTCGGCGGAGTGCTTGTTAGCGTTGGCTGCAATCTTCGCGGTGTAGATCGTGCGGACGCCGTCACGCGCCACCTTGGGAACATTGTCGCAGAGGCGGATGCCGCGACGGGCCATGGCGGGGCAGGACTTGAGGTGCTGAGCGCAGCGGGACATCCCGCCGTTGAACTTCAACTTGTAGTACTTGCACTCACGCGTGCTGGCCTTCATGTCCGCCACACGCGGTGTCTTGAAGTGCTGGAAGACAGCATGAGTGCTGTCCTCCATGTCAGAAGGCGAGGTTGATGCCTCACCGAAGTGACGACCACCGTCGTCACCCTGAGTGTTGACTGGGGAAGCTGACGAAATCATAGCTGGGAGCTAGCAGAGGTAGAGAGGAAGGAGCTTCTAGTCTAGATAGAAGCTTGAGAATGATTCTCAAGCAGAGAGGTGAGAGAAGATGTACCTCTCACCTTTGCGCAGGTGAGTCGGTCGTGCAAGCAAACTGGATGGGATGGGTCTAAGAGGTGAAGTGATGTTGGGTACGGTTGGCGGGCAAAAAGCTATGTTGCCATAAACGCTTTTCTAGCGGAGCGTATAGCGTTTATACGCAAACGCTAAACGCAGGCAATACGCAAAACGCTTGGGTAAAGTTTCTGGGGCAGCCCGCCGAAAATTTTGCGGAAAAAAAAAATTGCGGGGAATTTCGACGCGGCGAATTCAGCGACAGAGTCGCCAAGTCGCGAAACCCCGTCCCCAAAATCCCTCCACTTCACCGCATTGAACTTCCCTACATCTAGAAAACTCAACCTCACGTATTCTCCTTTCTCCTCGCTCTCTCACATATTCTCCCGAGTCCTCGCTCTCTCTCACATATTCTCCTACTCCCCTCCACCTAGAACCCCGTCAACATAGTCCGCACAGTTCCCGTCGCCCCCGTCGCCTAGTCTACAAGCTTAGCCACTCCTCCCGGTAGGTCACGCTATTATCTAAGTTATCCCCCCCCCGACGATGTCGACTGCTCAGAACAATGGGGGTGGTGAGGCTATTATCAATGTGAAATGTGAAATTGTGGCTTTGAACTAGGCTTGAGCAAAACCGGGTAATTACCCGACCCGACCCGGTTTTGCAATACCCGACCTTGGGTCGGGTAATTTTGGGTCGGGTCCGGGTCGGGTAATAAGCCCAGGACCCTTACCCGGACCTAGGCTTGAGCAACGGGTCGGGTCGGGTCGGGTAACCCGACCCGAACCCGACTTTTTGACGGGTCGGGTCGACATTTGCGGAAGGTTGACCCGACCCTCGGGTACCCGACCCGACCCGACCCGACCCGACCGATAAAACCCGACCCGTCGGGTCGGCTTATTACCCGTCCTGCCCCTATGCCAACCCGACCCGACCCGACCCGAAATCGGGTTAGGTAGAACCCGACCTATTAAACACGGGTCGGGTTGACATTTCCTGAACTCCGACCCGACTTGACCCGACCCGACCCGACCCGAACCCGACATCGGGTAGGGCAAAGTCGGGTCGGGTCGGGTCGGGTCGGGTTCATGCTCAAGCCTACCCGGACCCGACCTTAGGGGGCGGGTTATACAATACCCGCCTGGCGGGTCCGGGTTTACCCGACCCGGTTACCCTGAAAAGCGGGTAATACTACCCGCCACCTACTTGTAGACATCCTAAAGTTGGGGCTAGGCTAGGTAGGGTTCCTGAAAACGCGACTCTCAAATGAGAGTCGCGTTTTCTGGGGGTCGAATTTTGACCACGCAACTCCCTCCCTTTCACCGCACTGAACTCCTCCCCGTCTACAAACTCCAATTTCCACCAAAACTCCCTCCCTTTCACGGCACTGAACTCCTACCCATCTACAAACTCCAACCTCTTCTCCAACTCCACCCAACTCCCTCCCTTTCACCGCACTTAACTCCTCCCCATCTACAAGCTCCAACTTCTCCTCACAAATGCTCCACTCGTCCCCCCTCACCTCCAAAACCGTTTTGCCGCAAAACCTAAAACACAGCGCGACTTACGCCCATGTCTAGGTGGAATACCCGACCTCGGGTATATTTTACCCGACCGGGTCGGGTACCCGTTACCCGACACGTCGGGTAGCATTTCGGGTAGCGGGTATTGATACCCGGCCCGGGTAACCCGGACCCGACCCGCCGGGTAATTTTCAGGATTTCCGATACCCGACCCGCCCTAAAAGCGGGTCCGGGTACCGGGTACCCGACCCGGGCGGGTAGTTTGCTCAACCCTACTTTGAACTCCTACCTCCCCCACCCCTCCCACATTTTTTTATCCCTGCCGGGCAATTTTTTTTGCCTGCCCGGTCCAACGTATATCCAGCGTTTACATTCCGCTAGTCCAGCGTCTAGCGTATAAACGCTAGCGTATACAAACGCGTTTATGGCAACATAGGCAAAAAGTGGTTGGCTTTGAGTTTGAATTTCGAACTTCGAACCTCAATTTCGACGCGCCACGCCCGAATGTTTGCGAGACAGTAAAGCCTCACCAATTCGCAAAATTTTGCAAAACATTTTCGGTTTTTTTTTTTTTTTTTTTTTTTTTTTTTTTTTTTTTTTTTTTTTCGCCAGGCTGCCGGTGCGTATTTTCGCGAATCCCAACCCAATACGCAGCGTATCGTATTTTCTTGCGTATACACGCTGTACGCAACGCAACCCTACACCTAGCGTTTTTTTCCAACTTAGGATGGAAGCTATGGCAGCTATGTCGTAGGCCCGTTGAGGTGATCGCCATAGGTAAGCCCACTGAGGTGTGTGCATGAAGATGCGAGGGGATGAGTCTGCATGCAGCTTCCTGGCGGTCACTGCTTGAAGACATCTATTGATGCTGCTATCTAGGTCTCTCACTACCAGCGACGACTTGTCTGACTTTTGGCCATGACCGCCAGAAGGCTGCATGTGGACTTACGCCCCCCCATGTAATTCGTAGAGCCTATTTAAGCCTTCCACCAAATCGTGGCAGGACCCACATTGTGTTGTGCGAACTTGTTGTAGCAGTCGCAACAGTCTTCTTTCCGTCCTTATGCCCCGTCTGTCATTTTCCGCCTTCCGCCTTCCTTGTTGTGTCCCCCACCATGGCAGTGGTGGGCGTGGTGGATGTGAACGTGCCTGTGGTGTTGGAGATGGACACCATGAGACTCACACAGGCGCTCAAAGAGCTCATAGGTGGGACTCTCTTTATATTCTTATTAATTTCTCATGAGAATTTTATCCCCTCCTTCCCTTCATTTGTGTATAGCTTCTTGGCCTTTCCTGTTCTTTGCCTTTTCTCACCGTCCTCCTGTCTGTACCCCACCGTACCCCACCGTACCCCGTCTTTTCGTTCCTCACTGTCTTAACGTACCCCCCTCCCCGGTCTTCACCTTAAGAGATATCATTCCTTCCTGCGTATCTCTTAACGCTGCAGAAAACGCTATCCAATGCACGAAAAGCGGGCATGCGTTGGTGCGCCTGTCAGTCTGCTCTGCCTCCATCACCCTTGAGAGCGCCCTCGAGCACCTAAGTCAGTTCCTCCTTCGCTATCACCTCTCAAACATGGTTCCATGTCTTCTGAGTCTTGGCATGCGCCGGTGCGCCTGTCAGTCTTCTCTGCTCTGCTTACACCACCCTTGAGTGCGTCCTTCAACATTTAAGTCGGTACTCCCTTGGCAATCGCCTCTCAAACATAATTGCCATCTTTTGAGCTCTCTATCTATCTCTTTGCGTGGGGGTCAGTCAGAAGTGCCGCTCTTGCGAGGCTTGTTCTAGGACTAGTAATTTTTCTTATTCAATCCTACCAACTCGTCCTGCCATTCTGTCTTACCCTCTATCTCTCCCGCACTTCCTGTTCCTCCCCTCTCCTCCCCCGTCCCACTGTTCTCCCTCCTCCCTCCCCCCTCCCTCTTACAGATGCCGCAGACGCCCCACTCCAGCCCGCGCCCCCTCCTCCTCCTCCCTCTCTCCTCTCCTGCATCACCCGCCCGCCCACCCACCTAGTGCGCTTCACGAGTGCCCTCTTCACGCCTTGCCAGGAGGGGCCGTTTTCGGATCAGAGCACTGAGAGTGAGGAGCTGTCAGCGTGGGGGGATGCAGAAGCAGCTGCGGCTGTTCTGGGGGAGTCTGAGAGTGTGAGGGGGCGCAGGGAGGAGGAGGGAGAGGGTGGTTCTTCTCAGGCTGGTTCTCAGGGTGATTGTGAGGGGGGAAGTGGGGGGAGTGGGTGTGGGGAGAGGATGCAGCTGGTGGTTTCATGTGAGGACACGGGGTGCGGCATCGATGAGGCGAAGCACGGAGAGCTGTTTGAGTTCAAGGTGAGAACCTTTGGGTGTCGTGTGAGGCGAGGACATGGGGTGCGGCATCGATGAGACGAAGGACGGAGGGCTTTTGAGTTTAACGTGAGAAGCCGCGGGTTGTTGCTATATGGCACGTGTGCATTTCGTAGAAGCGAAGACGATTCGAAGCAAGACCGAATGAGCCTCAGCGTGAGCGCAGAAGCCCGCATGTGCACACGTGTAGATAGATGCCTTGCCTGCCGTCTGCAAGTTTGTGTGATGGTGGCACGTGTGCACGCCCATTCCAGTGTGTGCCGCCCCGAGAAAAGCTGATTGGCAGAGGAGATGAGATGTGTTGTGTTGTGTGTGATGTGTTGTGATGAGATGTGATGTGTTGTGTTGTGATGAGATGTGATGTGTTGTGTTGTGTTGTGTTGTGTTGTGATGAGATGTGATGTGTTGTGTTGTGATGTGTTGTGTTGTGTTGTGTTGTGTTGTGTTGCGTTGTGATGTGATGTGATGTGATGTGATGTGATGTGTTGTGTTGTGTTGTGTTGTGTTGTGTTGTGTTGTGTTGTGTTGTGTTGTGTTGTGTTGTGATGTGTTGTGTTGTGTTGTGTTGTGTTGTGTGGTGATGTGATGTGTTGTGTTGTGTTGTGTTGTGTTGTGTTGTGTTGTGTTGTGTTGTGATGTGTTGTGTTGTGTTGTTTTTGTTTATGTCATGTGTTGTTGGGGCCTGACTTAGTTTGTTTGCTGCACTGCAGGGACGATCGGAGAGTGGAGGAGCGGGGCTGGGTCTTGTCCTCACACACCATCTGGTAAGGGCTCTCTGCACCCCACTGCACATGGAAGTGGATAGTACATAGCTGGTAAGAGCTCTTTGCACCCCACTGCATAATAAGGGCTCTTCACCACACTGTATGGTAAGGGCTCTTTGCATCCCACTGCATGGTAAAGGCTCCTGCACTGGTTGATTGGTGAGGGCTTCTGCACTGTTGATTGATCGCTGGTAACGGTTCATTTCGCCGTCGGTTGATCCTTCTACTAATGGCTCTTGCACATCACAGTGCACCTCAAACTAGAGGCGAGTCGTGTTGTGGATTCTCCCTCTTTCCACCCCCACCCAACCCCATCATCCCTCTCGTTGGCCCTTCGCTCGCATCCCAAGCCCCCGATGCACGCGAGTGTCTATTTGCACCCCGTGCCCACTCAATGCCCCTCCTTCAATCCATTTATTTTAACTTACAATCTTCTTGCTTTACCTCCACCTGCCTGCATGCCCTCGACCTCCGCCCTGCCCCCATAGACATTTGTCTCGCGTGCTTGTCCATTCCCTCCTTCCTCCCTCTGTCCGCCCCCACCCCGCACCTCCCCCTCTCCAGGCATCCCTCATGGGTGGTCGTATCGCCTGCTTGTCTCATCCGGGCATCGGCTCCACCTTCGCATTCTCCATCCCCTTCACTGCGCCCCCCTCCGCCCCTCACACTTCTGCCGCTTCTGCTGCTCGCCCTCGCACTGCTGGCTTGGAGGGAGTAGCTGTTGGCGTGGTGGGGTCTGATGCATGCAGGATGGAGGTGAGAAGGAGGGGAGAGAGAGAGTGAGGGATGTGGAATGCTGAGAGCATCGAAGTGTTGGTTTCGTGTGAGGTTATGAGGGGCGGAAGGGTCAATTTCTGTTCCCCTCTCCCCCCTCCTAGACATGGGCAAAAAAAACCGCATCGCATCGCATTTAATCGCATTTTTGCGATGGCGATGTTTTTTTTTTTTTTTAAAATCATCGCGCGATGCGATGAATTAATATCGCGCGATTTAATTTAAATCGCATTTTAATCGCGCTTAAAATACGCGATTTAAGTGCGATATGCGATTTTTAAAAAATCGCTCGCGATATTGCACTGAAACCCACTCTGAAACCCACTACGAAACCACACTGGTTATTTGCACTCTAGCGTACGACTGCCCGTGAGTCAATTTCCCCGCAGCCATGGTTTTTTCCTGTTTTTTTGGGGGGTTTTTTAATTCTGTTTTAAAACGCGATGCGATTTAAAATCGCATTGCGCGATTTAATTAAACATCGCATGCGATTTTTTAATACATCGCGGGTAAAATGCGATGTGCGATTTTTTTTTTTTGAAAAATAAATTGCGCGATGCGATTTAAAATCGCATCGCTTTTTTTATCATCGCACCTGCATGCGATGCGATTTAAATCGCAATCGCGCTTTGATCATGTCTACCCCCTCCGATGTCCCTTCCCTGGACTTCTGATGCGTTTCGAAACAAAAACCTCCGACTCCCTTCTTGGAATCTCTTGGGGGCGCCATTTTTTTTCTGCCCAATGTTTTGTTAAAACCTCTAGCCTTTGTCTTAAACCCTGCACACTCGCCAAACTCCTCTGCCCTCCCCTTGTCAGCTGACGGCTCGCATGTTATCGGGTCTCGGAGCACAAGTGCACCTGCTGCCAATCCTCAGCAGCAAGACGCAGGGAGGGAGAGAGGGAGGAGAGGGCGAGCGAGGGAGAGAGGGAGAAGGCGAGGGGGGGATGGGGGAGAAAGTCAAAATGAGAGAGGGGATGATTGAGAGTATACCACGGGTGGTGGTGGTTGAGGAGGGGGATATATGGAGGCAGCAAAGTCAGGAAGGGGGAGAGGTTGCTTGTAGTGGTGCGTGTGACAGTAATGGGACTGGTCAACAGTGTGAAGGGAATCGGTTGTGGAGGGGGCACGGGGGAGGGATGAGGATGGGTGGGGTGGCGCTGGTGCCGGCAGGGGCAGCAGCATGGGCCGCAGCCGTGCAGGTCGTGAGGCGAGTGGAAGGGATGACATGCGGTGGACAGGTGGCCGGGGTGGTCGTTCTTGCGGGCTGCTGTAGTGGCGAGGAGATGGTTGGAGAGGGGGAGGAGGAAGAGGAGGAGGAGGAGGGAGACTCACCATTTACAGCTGCTACTGCCTGTGGTGCCTCCTCTCCCCGTGTGATCATCTGCCGCCGCCTGCTGCTCTCTCACCATCTGCACCACGCCGTTCAGGTGAGCATCTGTTGCCATCAGGTGAGCCTCTGTTGCCATCAGGTGAGCCTCTGTTGCCATAAGGTGTGCCTCTGGTTGTTTTTACTTGCTTCCATGTTTAATATGACACTCCATCCACTCCATTGTTGCTGCATTCTCTCTACCGTCTTTTCCTGCACAGCCTCTCATTCCCGTGTCTGTAACGTCGGTCTGAAGCGTCTCATTAAGAAATTACTAACACTCTCTACCTTCTTTTCCTGCACAACCTTTCGCTCCCGTCCTCCTGCCGTTCTATCTCGTCCTCCCGCCCCTCCTCTCCCGTCCTCACTCCCTTGCGCTGCCGTCATCACGCCCTTCTCCCCACCCCACCCTTCTCTCCTCGTTCCAGGCAGCAGCATTTGGACTCGACACCAGCAGAAGCTGTGAGAGGCAGAGCAGCCCGTCCCATTGCAGCAGAGCCTGTGAGCGACACAGCAGCTGTGAGCCTCTCGCTCGATTGGACCAGGAAGAGCGCAGAGAAGGGAGCAGAGAAGGGAGTTTGGAAGAGCATCATTCCTCCACGTGTTGGAGTGTGGAGAGCAGGGGTGGGGAGCAGCAGAGCAGCAGCGAGCGGCATGCTACCAGGTTCGCAAAAAGTGATGGGATGGTCAGCACAAGTAACGGAGAGGCAAGGCAGGGGGTCATTGCCCACGGTGATGCCAGTAATGGTGATTTGAATGGGAGAAGTCTAAGGCTGATGGCAGCAAAGGGCGTAGATGGTCTTAGTGCAGCAGCCGATGATACTTCCATAAGCAGAAGCAGCAGCTCCAGAAGCAGCAGTTTCAGGAGCAGCAAACAGGCGGCAGCAGCACCGCTGGCAGGAGCTGCTGTGTGTTCGGTGGCAGCAAATGCCGGGGCGAATGCAGTACTGCAGGGGCTGGGCGTGCTGGTGGTGGACGACACGAGCGTGAACCTGGTGGTGGCCCGCCGCACTCTGAGTCGATGCGGCGCCGCTGTGGCCACGGCAGGCAGCGGGGAGGATGCAGTGAGGCACGTGAAGGAGGCCATGGGGGGAGCGGGGGAGGCGCTGGATGTGGTGCTGATGGACCTGCAGATGCCAGGCATGGACGGGTGAGTGGGGGGGTGTAATGAGCATGCATGGATGGGTGAGTGGATGGGAATGGATGGGTGAGTCAAGGGCATGCATGGGTGAGGCATGGGCATGTATGGATGAGTTATGGAGGTGTATGGGTGAGTGGTTGATTGGTGAAAGGAGTAGGTTTGCATTAACATGTTTTTTTTTTCTTTTTCTTTTTTCAATTTTGGTTGTGTTTGCCCCTCGTGCGATTCCCCTCATGACCTGTCACTACCTCATTGCTCCCTCCTCTGTCCCATTGCTCCCACCCCTATCACCCACAGGTTCATGGCAACTGAGGCCATACGAACCCATGAGAAAGCCGCAGCCCTTCAGGTCGCATCAACATCCGCAGCAGTATCAGCATCAGCATCAGCATCAGCATCAGAAGCGACCATAGGAGTGATTGAAATTGGAGGAACAGGCATGGAGGCTGCCATCTGTGCCGCTGCCCCTCCAGTCTCCGCGGTCCCGCGGGTGCCCATAGTGGCGCTGACAGCAGATGTGGACGAGGAGATTACTCGGCGCTGCCTTGCGAATGGCTTTGATGGCATTCTGCAGAAGCCAGTTGACCCCAAGCTGCTCTCGCACCTGCTGCTGCGGATTAATTATAGCAGGCCCTATCAGAAAGAGAATCATTTGAACTAGAATGTGTGTGTACAAGGATATATGTGTGTGTGAATCATTTGAACTAGGGTGTTGTACCCTCTAAGGCACAATCCAGTATAGTCTACAGTAACGACCTAAGTTACATTTGACACACCCCCTAGACTATATAGGGGCAGTGCCTAACAAGGAAAGAAGCAGCTCAGGGCGGCACTACTATTCCAGCCTCTGAGACAAGGGTCTAAAGACCAATCAAAAGGAGTACACACAAGGCAAGAGCAAGCCCAGGGCGGCACTACTAGTCCAGCCACTGGGAGAGGCCACAAGGCCAGTCTGGGTAAAATAAAAATATAAAGGACAGTACAAAATCAAGGCCCAAGCAAGTGAGAGGCTACAGGAACGAGACCCAGTTGTACGCAGTGCTGCTGATGATCTTTAGGCGCAAGCGCCTTCGTAAAGATATTAGCTGTGTTGGCACCGGAGGCCAGGTGTACTACGCGCGCCTGGCGACGCTGCTGCAGCTCACGCAGGAGGAAGTACCGCAGCTGAATGTGCTTCGCTCTGCCCTCGAGTCGAGGCTCCTGACACAGGAGGATCATGGCCGTATTGTCAGCGTACAGGACCGGGGCAGAGCTAGGCCGCTCACCTAAGTCAATGAGCAAGAAGGACAGCCAGCGGAGCTCCTGTGCCGCCATGGCACCGGCGTAGATCTCGGCCTCACAGCTGGACTGCGCAACAGACGACGAGCGGGTAGCTCTCCACGAGACGGCACCTGAACCAAGGCTGAAGCAGTAGCCCTGTGAAGACTTGAGGGTCTCGGCGTCGTCTGCCCAAGAAGCGTCTGTGTGTCCAGTAAGGACCACTGGCCTACGTCCTCCTAGCACTAACCCCATGCCCGATGTACTTGCAAGATAACGCAAAACCCTCTTAGCGGCAGACCAGTGCTGAGGTCGGTGTCTGCCTGTAGCCACAAAGCGAGCCAGGATGCTGAGAGGGTATGCGAGATCTGGGCGCGTGCAAGTCATCAGGAAATGAGGCAACCCACCAGCTCTGCGTAAGGACCACTGGGCTCTGCTGACTGCTCAGGAACTAGAGCGGAGAGCCTGTGGTCTAGAGGCAGAGGAGTAGGCTGTGCGGAGGAGAACTGAAGGCCGAACCTCTGAAGGACCTGGCGCACCAAGTGTGACTGAGTCAATGTGATGGTGCGGGCTGCTCTGTCCCTGGAGATCTGCAAGCCAAGGTAGTGGCGCAGTTCTCCAAGGTCAGGGCAAGTGTGTCTCTTCAGCAGCTCTGCCTTCACGGAGGCCAGTGCGTCCCTGTCTTACGTGGCGAAGTCCACGTCGTCTATGTAAACAAGGATGTAGAACGGAGTCTGGCCAGCACGAACGAAGAGCGAGGGGTCTGCAGAGGATGGAAAGAACTGCAGGTCAGCAAGCGTAGCACGCAGCGTGTCGTGCCACTCACGGGGAGCCTGCCGCAGGCCGTAGACGGGGCGTCGGAGGAGCCAGTGGGTCCCAGGAGGGAAGGTACCAGTGAAGCTCTGAGGGCGACGCAGGAAGACCTGCTCGTGTAGACTGCCATGAAGAAAAGCAGTGGAGAAGTCGAGGGAGTGAAGCTCGTAGTCACGCTGCGCTGCTACGTGTAGTAGCACCCGAAGAGTAGTCGTCTTCGGGGTCGGAGCGAAGGTCTGGAAGAAGTCCACCCCCTCACGCTGACTGAAACCTCTAGCCACGTAGCAGGCCTTGAATACAGGCGGCTCTCCAGGGGGGCACTTCACGTTGAAGAGCCAGCGGCCATCGACTACGTTCACCCCAGGTGGGGGAACTACGTCGACGTAGGTGCCGGTGGATCTCCAAGATGCCATCTCCTGCTCCATGGAAGCTATCCACTGAGAGGCCCAGGGTCCCGAAACCGCCTCAGCGTAAGTGCGAGGGGTCGGGATGTCGAAAGCGTCGGGGTCACCCTCAGGGACTAGAAGCATGGAACAGAGATGGGGAGCAGCCTCGGACAGGAAAGCAAGCTCGAACTGGCGGTCCTCCAGGACGTCATTGCCAAGGGCAGGAGCACCCCCGACAGACGGAGGACAGGCAGGGTCAGAGACCAGAGCGGTGGCGTAGTCAAGGCGGCGGGTAGAGGCGAAGTCAGCGACCGCAGCGACAAGAGCGTCATGTGCTCTCCCTCTCCCATTCTCCTGAATTCGTGTTTTTTTTTTTTTTTCTGTCGACCGCTGTATTCCATCGGGCGCTATAAGAGCAAACTCTGCCCCGCGCATTGAGTGGGCAATGGCGGCGGCCGAGGGCGCACCGCAGTTTCGACCAAGGGGACCGCCGGAGAGGGAAGGGTTGTGGAGCTACGTGCAACTACTCGACCTGAGGAGGGGTCTGCAAGCGCGACAGCAGCAGGGGCGGCAAGCAGCGTGAGCAAAGTGTGGTCACGGAAGAAGCAGGCAGACGCACCAGAGTCAAGCGTGAAGGAGAGCGAAGCGGTAGTGACAGCCGGCGGAGGGGCTAGTGTGGAGCCTAGGCTAAACAAGGCAGACGGTCCTACGCCTGACGCAGCAGGGGAGCCTAGACTACACACATTGGACATACCTACGCTAGGCAACACCGAGTAATAGGGTCCAATCAGACTAGAGTCATCAGCATACATGACATGCCTAATCTGATCCATGTCAAGCTCAAAGACCGGCACACGGCGGCAAGCCAGGGCATCCGGAGGGTCCAACGAAGGACCGAAGTGGTGGTGGAATAGGTTGTCCAGACGGCGGTAGCAGTGGTCGGCAGTGTGGCCAGACCAGAGGCAAACAGTGCCGCAGCGAGGACCGGTCTGAAGCTGGTACTGGCAGGTGACCGCGCTGGAGCTGCCACCCGACACCGAGCTGCGCACGCCCCCCCCATGACCACTGCCACTAGCGCCTCTAGTCTACCACGGCGGTGGGGGTCCCCACGGCCACTGCTGCTGCTGCGACAACTGTTGCGGCGGCTGCGGCTGGTGCGGCTACTGAGTCTGCTGCTGCTGCTGCTGCTGCTGAGGCTCCGTCTGCTACCGCGGCTGCTCCAGGGCACAAGCCCCAGTCCCCTCGTCTGAACGATCGTCCCCGCCTTCACCGCCGCCACCCTCCCCACCTCCACCCCCCCTTCCCCCCATCACGCCCCCCCCTTGGAGAGGCGACCGTTACCCGGACGCTTCTGCTCTGAGGCCGCAGCAGCGGTCTCAGCAGCAGCAATAGAGACGTCTGAGTAAGTGCTCTAGGAGGGAGCACAGTCGTGAAAGGTAGGCACCGCAGCAGTACCGCTAGATTGAGCAATATTGCGCTGGCGGGTCTCTATCTCAAACATGGTGGTGACAAAGGCGGTGAGGGTGAGGTCACCCGGGTGCTGACTAGAAAGTGGTCGCGGGCTGTGGCTAGGCAGTCAGGAAGGCGTGTGGCGATAAGATAGAGGGTAGCGCAGAACGACGGTGAAAAGGCTGTGAGTTGTGCCTGAGTGCTAGCGGCGCGGTAGCTAGTCTCAAACGCGCGGAGCTGAGCGGCAAAGTCAGCGACAATAGGAAAGGACGCAAGATCAGGGAACAACATGGGAAGGATGAGGCGTCGAGCAGAGGCAATGGCGGGGGTAGAATAGCGCGCAATGACACATCTAAGAAAGCCAGGGACGCTCAGACAGCGGGAGTGCGTGGCTGATAGCAAGTTGTGCAACGGCGTCGTGCGAGTCCCAGATGGCATGAGCAAGCGCAGCTGCGGAAATGGTCTCATGCTCAGCAGTGGTGGGAGGATCAGGGAGGGCAGTAGGCACAGAAGGGCAGGGAAGCAGGCCATCGACATGAACAGCTAGGGATTTACCGTCCTGGCGCTGACCTTTAAGATGACGTCGGAGGTCGAGGAGCCACGCCTCGAAGTCTAGCGCCCGACCCTCCACGTCCAAACGGAGCTGTAATTCCGCCATCGCCACTGCTGCAGCTGCTGACGGCCGCTGACAGAGGGAGGAGGAAGGGTGAAGGAAACAGTGGAGAGCGATGGGGAGCGGTTTTGAGCAATGAAGAGCGGGGGAGTGTGGTGGAGAGTGGTGGAGTGCGGTGGAGAGGAGTGGAGTGCGGTGGAGTGCGGTAGAGTGCGGTAGAGAGCGGTGGAGTGCGGTGGAGTGCGGTGGAGACAGCCGGCAGGGGAGCCGGCGCTGAAGGGAGCCACGGCTGGTGGGTCAGCGCTGCGGCTCGGCTGCTGGCAGCCGAGGCGGTGGCCAGCTAAGCAGGGGCCGGCTGGTTGGGAGCCGATGGGGCGCACAGTCAGGCTAGGCGTTGACGGGGCCGGCGAGGTACACGGGGTTGACGGGGTGCAAACAGGGCTGACAGGGCGCTAACAGGCGATGGGGCCGACGGGGTGCTAAGGGGCCAGCAGGGCACTATGGGGCCAGCGGGGCGCACGGGGCTAGCGGGGCGCTGAGGGACCAGCAGGGCGTACGAGGCCAGACGAGCGCGGCGTGGCCAGCGGGGCGCAAATGGCCTGGCGGGGCGAACAGGGCCAGGTGTGGCGCACGGGGCCGACAGGGCGCTAAGGTGCCAGGAGGGTGCGATGGGGCCAGCAGGGCGCACGGGGCGAGCCGGGCGCGAAGGGGCCAGCAGGGCGTACGGGGCCAGACGAGCGCGACGGGGCCAATAGGGCGACGGGGCCAGCGGGGCGCTAAGGGGCCAGTAGGGCACGACAGGGCCAGCAGGGCGTACGGGGAGAGCGGGGCGCACGGGGCTAGTGGGGCGCGAATGGGCCAGCGGGGCTCGAACTGGGTCGACGGGGCCCTGACGGGGCCGACGGGGCGCGAACGGGGTCGACTGGGCGCTAACGGGCCAACGGGGCGCATGGGGACAGAGGGGCACACGGGGCCAGAGGGGCGCACGAAGCCAGAGGGGCGTTAAGGGCGGCTAGGAGCGGGCAGCTACAAACGGGCGGCTAGGGCTAGGACTAGAGCGGAAGCGTGGGCGGGCGGGGAGGACCTAATCTAGCGCGTGATACCATCTCAGAGTAGAAATGTTGTCTAGAATGAAACAAACAGGTTGGTTTTGTCTAAAGGGTTGTACCCTCTAAGAGCATGCACCTATCTAGCCTATTATGACATATACAAATATGTTTG